TGGACTTGATGATCTTTGAGGTCTTTTCCAACCATAATGATTCTATGATTCTATGATTCTAAGCTCTGCTGAGACTGTCCTGTGCCTGCTTCCTCTTGGCTCAGAGCTTCAGGATGGAGACAACACCCGTACCCCCTCACCATTCTCTTTATTTACAGACACAACATCAACTGGGGGTGTGGAGATGAGGAACAACACCTTGTGAAGCACCTGCCCACCCAGACAGCACTGTGGCTGCAGCAAGGTCTTTGCAAGCTCTGCACAGTGGGAGGGCCGGTGGGTGCACGGTGCAGGTTCCACGATGTGGGGAAGCCAGCTGGTCAACCAGAAGGCAATACACCTCTCCGTGGCTGAGCCTCCTGTGCCTTCTGAGTAATCTATTTCCACCGGCCGCCCACCATGGTCTTTCCACGGGCAGCCTTTGACCTGGAAAGGAAGCAGAAAAGCACGTGCAAAAAGGCATTAGTGAAAGGAGGGACAAGGTGGGTGCCATCAGCAGTCCTGCAAAGAGGACCGAGCCAAGTCTGGTTGATGTTCACTGCCCTGTGGGGAAGAAGGTCTTCAGTGGTCCCAGGTAAAACCCTGGGACCTGAGTCAGTCTGTGTGTTTTGGGACTCTATAGGAACAAGCTCATGCATTTTGCGAGGTGTTTCTAAGGACCTCCAATTCCCTTCCCATGTTTTTCCCCCCGCAAGGATCCTTCAGGGAAGAATTGATGAGTTGCATCTCCGGTTGCAGAGGGATAACGATGGCTGCAGGATCCTTCTCCCAAGAACCAGAAGCTGTGAAGTTGTTAGCCAGGACCCACCACATCGCTATCCTTAACCAGCATCAGGGGAACAGGCACTACTCTGGGTCTGCAGAGAGGAGGAGGAGGAGGAGGAGGCTCGGGTGGACAGTGAAGGGCATCTCTGGCATGTCATCCTGAGAGTGACCAGTGCAGCTTTGGCCGCCAGTCCTTGACATTGCCTCCTCCCTCAGCCCTACCACTAGCCTGATGTCAGCCCCGACGTCCATGCAGCACACGTGCAGTGGGAGACACACAGCACTCAGGCCATGTCTGTACTCACCCTTTGCTGCAGTAACAGGCCATGTTGGGGCAGAAGAGAAGAGAGATTTGGTGTTAGTGGCCAGGAGATGCTGCTACCTGACAGACGGGGCAGGCTGAGAACCTCTCATGTGAGACAGCAGGGCAGGATGGGGATGTGAGAGCAGCATGGTACTCCCAAAGTGGGGGTTAAACACCCACCTCCACCCTCCTATGAAGGGTCCCCCAGTCCTGTGCAAAGAACATGGGCACGGGCACAGACTCCCCTGACTTTGTGGGGCTGCACAGCTCCCACAGACCGTGGGATTTCCCCTCCTGCACAAGCTGGGGTCTCCAGCACCTTCTCTGAGATGCTGGGCAGAGCCACTGCAGGGATGGGGGGCAGCTGGAGGCTGGCAGGACCCTGCAGGACATAAGGCTCTAAGTGCAGAGGTCCCCAGGGTCCATCTCAGGCCAAGGTCTCTGGGGTAGGGGGAAGCTGGTGGAGGTGGGAGGCAATGGGGGGGTCTGTCAATGGGAGCAGAGCAGCATGGACCGAGGTCCCTGGGCCAGACCTGCAGGTCCATGAACACTGGGTGCCAGTAGGACCAGAAGCAGGAGTAGGAAGGACAGGAGGTGGCTCTGTGAGGGTGCAAGAGAGCCAGGAGATACACAGGGAAGGAAGTGGGGCCAGGGGAACAAGGAGCTGGATGGGCAGGAGGTGTCAAGGAAGGATGCTCAGCCTGCCCAGGGACTTACACTTTTTGGTGGTCACTAACGCGGTTTCGGAGGACGTTGATCTGCAAGAGAAAAGCAAGCAGATGATGAAGCCTGGCAAGATGCCCCCTGCCTGGCTGGGGATGAGGGTTGGGGCAAAGATGCATCACTGCCCCCAGCAGTTCTTGCATGGGGAAGAGAGACAGCACAGGGCTGTGATGTGCAGCATAGCGGGAAACGCACATCCCCAGGACATCCCCAGGAGCACACGTCCCCAGGAGGTAGGAGGTTGCAGAGCCACCACACAACACCTTCACCAGCTGCCACATCCTCCAGCATTTCATAGCTGTGTGCTCAGCCTTGCCAGGGTGGCTGGCAACCGCTGAGAGGGTTAGTTTGATCCCGGCTCATCTCCAAAAGGGAGGCAGATGTGACTTTGCTTTCAGTGGTGCAGAGCCTCATGGATGTTTGTGCACAAAAGAGGGCACAGTCCTTTCCTGATGCAGCCAGCTTTCCTGCGACAGCACCGTCACCCAGACAACCCACCCCATCTCCCAGACCGGGAGCAGAAGGAGCAGCCAGGCACACGGAGGGCAAGCAAGCTCATGGAGGACCTCGCGGTTCACCTCGTATTTCTGCCGCTTGAACTTTTCTTGTAGGTCAAATTTCTCAGCCTCCAGATCACGGATGGTTTGCCATAGCTCCTTGGCCTTGTCCCTGTGGGAAGAGCCGGCTGGTGTCAGGGCAGAAAAGGGATGTGGCTCACAGGGACGTCACTGCAGGGAACAGGGCAGTGATGCCACCATCTCGCCTGCTTCCCCAGGACGAGTCTCTGCAGGCTCCATGCCCAGGCGGGGATGTGTGAGCCAGGCGGCAATGCCAGTCCCAGGCGTGCGGGAGGAAGGGGACATGCGTGTCCCACGCGTGGGAGCCTGGCTCCCTCTGATGGCCGGCACTGCCAGCAGCAGCCGAGGAGCCCATTTCCCCAACGAGGTGTCGCAGCCCATCTCCCAGCTGTGCCATCACCCTCTTGTCTGGGCTGCAAGCCCCAGGCAGCCCGGCCCGGCCTAGGATCCCGCCCCAGGCGGTGGGACCCAAAGCAGAGCCCCTTGCCCTGGACATCCCTCCTGCAGCCCATGCTCACCTCAGCTTGTCTTCATTGAGATGGTCGATGTTCAGGGGTTTCCGCCGTTCACTGAGGATCTTCTTCTTCTTTTCTCGCTCTGTTTGCTTCTTCCCACCCTTTTTCTCTGACTGATGAAACCGTGAGTCCGTTGGAGGGAAGGAAATCTGCCCAGCCTTTGCTCTACCCCTGTCCTCAGTTCTGCCCCCAACACCCTCAGCTTTTGGGAGGCCAGAAGCACATGAGGTCCTCAAGGAAAATTTGGTAAGAGTGGTCAAGACACCCTCCCCACCCCCATCCCTGTCCTGAAGTGAGGCTGGACCCGTCCTGGCCAACATCTGCAAAGCAGAGCTCTCGGCTCACTTTGGCCCTCCAGCCGCTGCTGTGACCCAACAACAGTGGCCTGTCTTCTGCTTGTAGAAACCGCAGTCTACCAACACTGAGAACATGCACAGTGCTGGGAGGCCAGCCCATGGTTGAGCCCTTCCCAGGAGCACCAGTGGTTTCATTGCAACCACCCAGGGTAGGATCACACCTTCTGCATGTAGCCTCCAAAGTGCAGCATGTTGGAGAAAGCTTTCTTCTTCCGCTCTTACTCCTCAGCATTATTCCGCGCCTCCTCTTCCTCTTTGCGAGCTTTTTCTTCCTGCCAGGGTCAGAAGTGGGTCAGGAGTGGAGAGATGGAGACCTCACAGACCAGCTTGCATGTAACACACAGTTCATGCTCCCATGTGCTCCGTGGCCGGGCTTGGGCTACCCAAGATCGGTCCAAGCCCCCGACCCCCGAAGAGAGACTCACGGCCATGCGGGCTTGGCGCTCCTTCTCCCTCTCGCTGCGAATCCGCTGCTGCTCTGCCCTCTCCGCTCGCCGCTGTTCCTGCAGAAGAAGAGGCTATTGGCTTGGACACCCCGGGGAATCTGCATTGTCTCTGTCCTTAACCTCACATCCCTAACCCCAAAAGCCCCAAAAGCCCCAAGGACAGATCTGCTGCTCCCACGTCTCCCAAGGGAGCATGTGGACGAGTGACCATGGGAGAAGGTGCATCTCTGTTAGGCACCGTAGCATCGCAGCAGCCAGACCAGGGGCTTCCCAGATACTGGGGTACAAAGTCTGGCTCAAATCTCAGGCTGTGTCTGGCAGGGACATGGGATGTCTCAAGTCTTACTGTCAGGACTATGGGGAAAGGATCACAGCTGTGTGCCCAAAGGGGAGAGGTTGGCAACAGCAACAGCGGAGGAAGGTTGCAAACATACAATCCTGTCCTTGAGGGACAAGAGCTCCTCTTCCTCCTTCTTCCTGCTCTCAAAGTGGGCTTCGATGAGGGCCTGCAGTTCATTCAGGTCCTTCTCCATGCGCTTGCGATGGATGTCCTGCACCGGATAGAAACAGCGGTGATGGCTACACTCGCATGAGTGAAGCCCTCCAGGAGCTGCAGAGCTGCTGGGCGCAGTGTGAAGATTGCCAGTGAAGGGATCACCTCGCTGGCGTTGACATTGAGTGTACTACTTACATCAAAATCCAGTCTCTCACCATCTGGGATTTTGGGAGGCACCAGGTTTGGCATGAAGACCCTGCAATTGAAGGTGAGCGGGAGGATGGTGAGCCTGCAGCAGAATCCTGGGACAGGACGGTGCCTTTCATCCATGCACTGATCTAGCCAGTCCTCCTCTCTGAGCCTTGTAGTCCCCAGGGATGAGGAGTGAGAACATTTTGAGGACAGTGAAGTGTAATGCTGCTTGCTGGAGGTTGCCAGCTGGACAGCCTCAGAGGAAGACCTCTGGCATTCC